TCTCGCTTTTTCTTGCTTTCAACGACTGGTCCCCGAGTGATGACTATCTTCACGCAAGATAGGATGAATGGAGCTAGCAATTAGCCCAAAAACATCGAAAATGTTACAAAACACTTCTTTTGAAGGAGATGAATTGAATGGTTTTGAACCTCACGAAACATGTTTCAGATACGACGCGTCACACAAACTGACGCATCAAGACTGTGTTCAAAAGTGTGAGCGGCAGCTCCGCAAGCACTGGTTGACGAATGAAAAGCGTAGGTACCTACTGCCCGGTCGCCATAGCAACAAGTAAGCGTCACAAATTTCGAACACTATCAGAGTGCGCCAAGTTCGACTACATCGAGGACGATGGGTGATTGTTGCCAGCTGACTAAAGTAATGAAACGCGAATAAATTCAGCTTTTGTTTGAGATTGCGAGTAAAAATGTTTGTCAATTTAAAATATCATTGATTTAGTTTTGTAAATAAATTGACTACAAACACGTCTGTGCAAAGTGTTTCAAGAATAAATCAAGGCTTATGAAAATCGTGAATAGGGTTGGAAAAAGCAGAGAAACGGATCACGTGACTAGCACGTCCCAACCTGATCTGTATGAATCTTGGCCTTAGATAAACACCGGCCAAATTTCCACCCCACCCCACCGGCCAAATACCCCTGCTAGCGGGGCACTTGAGCCGCTTTGCAGTCCTTTGTAAAACGTTAAAATTCAGGTATAATTAGTTCCTCTATCATTTTCAGTTTACTGTACAAGATAGTAAAATGAATGTTACACCTACCAGCGTTGAAAGAGTGCACAAATATGTCGCCAATTTCGAGCCACAGCGCTTCTTAACCCACGAGCCGCTGGGGGGGGGGCATAAAGTTGCCCCCCCTTTACGTTTTGTGAAATATCTCCGAAGCCTGATGAGCTACGAACGTGAAACTTGGCATAGCTTCAAATGAATACCTAGGCAATGTTTGAGGAAAGTTTGGTGGTTGTAGCACCTAAGATGACGTCACAGTGACGTCATAAAGTTTTGTCGTTTTCCGATATGGACCGTTTCTGATGACGCTGAGCATGAAACTCAACTGTAAATGAACTAGATAGCACCTGCTGTCATCCTAAAACATCTAACTACACTTCCATCTAGTTTCTGACCAATAATCGACCCTTTATATTCGGTCCCATATATCTGATGTATCGTGAGGAATGCGAGTCGCAAATCTATAATTTCACTTATGACGTCACTGTGACGTCATTTCAAATAAGATCGACACCAAATTTGGACACAACCTCGGCTAGGTATTCAGAAAAGTGTGTGCAAAGTTTCGCTTCTCTATCTCTTCGCGTTGCGACGATAGCGTCGCAGAAGTAAACGGGGGGGGGGGGGGGCAACTATATGCCCCCCCCCCCAGCGGCCGGCGGGTGGCGCGGAGGCCCAGCGGCCGCCGGGTTAAAAAAGCGGCCAAATCACCCCATCCTACCATAGACTGCTGTATTACGCAGATATATAACCGTCAATGAAGACGGTTTTCCCTCATCACACACGTCTTCCTTAACATGGGTGCAATCAGTGAAATCGACCACTCCAGGTATGCCGCTGACGTAAAAAGCTTGGTTAGTTTGCATCATTTCGTGCCCCGTAGGCATCCGGATGATCTCGTCCCTTCTGTCAGCTATGCGTGGAATGACTTGCCATATTGTTTCGTTTACTCTGCCTTTAGCCAAGCCGAGTGTCTCCCTGACACCCGGGTTGGCCTTATGACCTGAAACGAATTACTAGTAAGGAAGCAGGCCGCAGGGTCGCGAGTTTCTTGGTCTCAGCTGATGTTGGGTAAAGACTACCCATGGAATCGAGGTCTTTTTCAAATAAGTCGATAAGATGGCGAACAGATTTCTTATCGAACCTGAAGCGATTGTAGAACTCCCGGTCGTCACTCATCAAAATAATTGACCGTGGTTCCCCGCTTTCGCACCGATCGCCGGGCACATAGAAGGATGCGACGTCCAGTCATTTCACAGTGCGCTTTGGATGTTCGCTGCTCTCACACAACTGTTGTTCTTAGCCGAACGTTTGGTCCACTAGAATGTAGCTTCTGCTGTACCTTTTCTGCCACTTTTTGTTGCTTCAGGCACGCTTTTGGCTCAAATTACGTCGATCGCCAGCTGAACAACATTCCCGTCACGGGCTTCGGGAATGCCGGTTAAGTTCAAATAGTTACGACGCGAGGTACTGCTCGAGTTCGGACAGTCTGTCGTTCTGTTCGGTGATCAGAACTTTTTGAGCATCTACTTCTTGCTTTAGTTCCTTGATCTTCTCGATCCCGAACAGGCCTCGCAGCGTCGCTCTGATCTCGCTGTCTTCCAGTATGGCGAGTAGGGTCGTTTTCTCTCTACCAAAACTGGCATTTTGTCTGTCTCACTGCACTTACCCTACCAACCCGAACAAAAGACCTATATCTTGCCTATATCATGACACTAGCAGCACTTAAAGGGACCCTCCCACCTTAACATTAGATTTGAGTTGAGATAGCCAAAATGGGGTCCCTGGCTCACAATTACCGGTTTCGGCACTCTAAACATCGAGAAATGCCTTAAATCGGAAATATTGAATTTCAAAATTGCAGCATTTTGATTCAGAGGGGCTAATGCATAGGAATAACCCTCTGAATGTGTGACGTCAGCGCAGATGTCTAACGATTTTTAAATGTTTGACTAAAACGTTTTGTAGCACGCGGTGGTATATGCTGCATTGCGCGCAACAAATGCCGCACTTTTAAATAAAGTCGCTAGGTACAGCGGAGATCCCAAAGAAGTAAACAAAAGTAAAAGTCTAATATCTTGAAAATCGGTGAATATTTTTCGATGAAATTTGGTAGATATTCGTTTTCGCTCTTTCTGAACCGAGCGACATCACTTTTATGCCAATTCATAAACTTTTTTGAAGGTGGGAGGGTCCCTTTAACCATTATGAAATGAGCGGAGCATTACAAACGGACGTCGGACAGGGCCAAACATCATCACCAGCAACCATCCGCGGGGCGCTCTCGTGGCACACCTTACGCGAGAAGCCGCTCACCCTTGTCGGAACCAAGATTCTTACAGAAAAGGTTGGGACGCCGGTCACGTGATCCTTTTTCTGTTTTTCCCAACCCTACTCACGATTTTCATAAGCCTTGATTTATTCCTTGCACAGAGGCGTTTGTATTTATTTTATTTACAAAAACTAATTCAATGATATTTGAAATTAAGAACACATTTTTACTCGCCATCTCAAACAAAAGCGAATTTATTCTCGTTTCATTAATTTAATCAGCTGGCAACCATCACCCATCGTCCTCGATGTGGTCGAACCTGGCGCACTCAGATAGTGTTCGGAATTTGTGACACTTCTTGTTGCTATGGCAACCAAGCAAAAATTTTGTCAACAAGTGCTTGCGGAGCTGCCGCTCACACTTTGGAACACAGTCTTTATGCGTCAGTTTGTTTTACGCGTCATATAATGATAACGAATCAATGCTGTGACAAGCTTTAACTTCCGCCCCAAAATTCCTCAAACCTGCCACAACCTGTGGTGTGTGCCCCGACAACATATTGTCAAGACCTGCCACGTTTTGCAGACTGGCCCATTTCTGTATGCCTACCTTCCAGGTGAAGATGCCTGGTGAGCGAGGGAAAGGACGAGGACGGGTGAGGAGAGGAGGTGGTCGAGGGGCAAGAAGAATTCTCAACTTTTCACCCACCGCCCAGCCCGAGCCCCAAAGGTAAATAACTTAATGTTTCTTACGATGTGATGTGAAAGTATGAAACAATTGTTAATATTTATTTAATTGCCATGTGTGGCCTAGCCTTTATCTAGGTTGCTAGCCAATATATACTTTAAGGTGATTATTGCAATTAAAATTATCATGTACCTACCCCACAGAGGAAGAAGGCCTACCCGGGCCAGGGCACGAGCAACAGTGGCCAGTCACTGTGAGCGGCCAGCTTTCCGGAGGTTTGTTTCTAGTACATAATGCATGAATTATTTGGCCCATCTCAAATGGTTGCTTGCATTTTTTTTCATAATGAGTCTGTTTCTGGGAACCGATATTTAAGGAAGCATCCTAACGGGTGAGCACTAAAATTTTGCACAAACTTTGTATGTCAATAGAACATTAATTGCCTGATGCCCGTGCAAACAACAACTACCAGGTGAAAGGTTGGGAAAATACTTTCTGTTTATATGCAATATAAGCTGTTTTGCCCTGCCAATCGTGAACACGGAGCCAAAGAAGAAAGACGCGTTGTTAAAAGGGGTGGCGAAACTTAACGAAAAAATCGTGAGCTCGGTAAACCGTTTACCGTAAGGCACTCCGTGGCCGGAAAACCAGGGATTTTATACATCGGGTCCTCTTCAGGAAGATCCTGAGCATGTTCGGTTCAACTAAAAAAACAAGTTTCCGTAGAAAATAATTGTGTGGCTTGCCGTCAGCGAAAGAGGTGTATTTTAGCCCTTCTTCTGTCAAAGCGGAGGTGCCCTGGGTGGTCAAATCTACCGAAAACAGCGCGTGACCAAGATGTTTGTCCTCTTCATCGAAGAAAAACATAGTGGAGACGAAATTATGTTCTGGCCGGAGCTGGCATCGTGCCATTACGCTCGTGAGACGCAAGAGGTGCTCCATGAGAGCATACCGTCGGTGCCGAAGGGTGACAGCCAGCCATGCTGCCCACTGAGTGCATACAGCTGAGACCCATGTGCAGCGTCAGTGGCAGTGGCGGCGGAAGGTAATTTGGGATGGGGGGGGGCACCGCTGGCGGATCCAGGGCTTGGGCGCGGGAGGGGGCTACGGAGACAAACCTAGGGTACCCCCAAATCCTGTTTTCTCATCGGATTTAGGCCACTTACTTTTCGTCACAGCCCTGATACGATATTTTTTTAAATATATATATTTTTTTAAAATAAATGGGAGGCCACCTGACACCACTGGCGGATCCAGGGGGGGGGGGGGGGCATTTGAGGCAACTACCCCCGCGTCGCCCGAAATCCAGGATATTTTGCGGCTTTTCGAGAATATAGCGAAAGCTAAACTTTTATTCGCCAGAGACCAGACAAACGTGTATCACATACACCCATGCACTGCATCACATACACTAAAGTGACGCGGAGCAGCCATCAACTACCATGCCCCGAACACTGGCACTCTTTTCTGGGGATGGTTGCGCACGAACTCTGATAGGATGAGCTCAGGGTCCAGACCTTTCGCTATATCCTCATGGAGGCTTAGAAGCATGAGGCTGCACAGTCGCTTCTGGCCGATTGTGGAGCGCAAGTCGGTTTTGATTCTGCGCAAAGTTGAGAACGATCTTTCAGCTGTCGCTGCGGACATCGGCACAGTCATGATGAGTTGCGCTAGTTTAAGTACCTCGCTGACCATCCCCTTCACCACCTCACCCTTTCCAAAGAAAGTCTCACATAGTTCGGCAACCGAACCAGTCTCATTGCGGAGAAGTCCACTAGCGTGAGCACACCTCAGCTGGGCCACTAGCAGGTCAGCGTCGATATCCGCGGTCTTGTCCACTCCGGTTTTCTCGCCAAATACACCGAGCGCTGACCTAGCGCTCTCCGGTGTGATGGCCACATCGCTCATGAGTTTTTCCAGGTCTTCAAGTTTCTTCAGATCTGGCTGATCAAAGCGCCGTTCAAGCTCGTTGGCGACGATATCCACAGTCTCAAAATACTGTCGACGCAGCGAAGACTTGGCATCTAACGCGGCTCCACGCGCGGCATCAGAGCACTGCTCCAATCGTTTCGGTGGACGGGTCACCCGAGGAGCTCTCGGCCGGTCGATGTCAGTTTTCATACTCGCCACGCGAGCCTCCGTAGCTTCGTATAGCTCAGCGAAGGACTCGTCCGTCCTCAGGTGCTGTATCTTCCTCAGAAGTAGTGTGTATCCCTGTAGCACTTCGCCGGCTGAAATGCCGGGCTTCTGCAGAGTTTTGGCAAAGAGCTCAGTGGGAGTGAAAACAGTTTCACAAACGCCCATGCCAAAGACAGTTTCAAAGCGCTTAAGGTGGCTTATTTGTCCCCTTGCCTTGCTTGCGGAGTCCGGAGGCACGCCTCTGTCCTCATTCATCATCATACACATCATACAGCGCGTCCACGACACAGTCATAGAGTTCCAGGAAGCGTGTAAAAGCCGCAGTTCGTACGGTCCAGCGCGTGGGGCACAGCGCCAGGAGTGTGCACACAGGACCACGAGTGCCGGCCGCCGAGTCCGAGACAGACTGGGAGCTATGGGTGCCGGGATCGCCTGTAGTGCTTTCACGGCTTTCGAGCACGTACTGTTTCAAAACGTTTTTACGTTTATCAGTGTTCAGGGCACTGGACACATCACGAACAAGATTCATGACATCTGCTACGAGAGGCACGTGTTTGGCTAGCTCGACTAGAACAAGGTCAAGCGAATGGTTCGCACAGTGCACGTACAGGGACTTAGGCTGCACTTCAGCGACACGCGCACGGACACCAGATACACGCCCGGACATATTACTGGCGCCATCGAAACAGTGGCCACGAAGCTTATCGACACTGCCGATGAGCCTCTGTATAACGTCCAGGGTCACTTTGAAAAGCACTTCAGCTCCAGAGCTTGGAGCGTCATAGAGACCTAGACACACTTCTCGGGGCCTCAGATCGTCATCGACATACCTCATACACATCGACACTTGTTCACAAGCCGCGACGTCCGTTGTACCGTCGACGATGATGGAGAAGAACGGCGCTTTCTTGATCTCTTCCACGAGCTGGTGCTGAATCATCCTTGCCATTATGTCCAGCAGCTCATCTTGGCAGTCATGATGCAGGAAGTTCGTCTTCTTTTTTATCCAACGGCGCATGTCCTCGTCCGTGGCAGCGCTCTCATCCAAAAGAACCGACAAGTTCCCATCGGAGCTGCTGTGGCCACGGAATGCCACGCCACATCGACCGAGACCACGCAGCAGGCATATGATCTTCTTATATAAGGCTCTGTTTTTCTCCTGCTCTCTTTTTTGTGCATCACAGGCAACGGCGTCAACAGGCACGCTACGAGACAAAACCAACTTTTCTGCTGCCTTCAGATGTGCCTCAGATTTTGCGTGAGCTGCAAACCTGTCTAGAGCCTTCTTCCAGTTCCTAAAACCGTTGAGGAATGCCACCTCTCGGAAGTCAGACTTGCGCATCAGGTCCTTCCCCACAGCAGAACAACAGCTCCGACAGGTTACACACCCCCGATCACCATGATACTCCAGAAAGGGGTATTTACTCATCCATTTTGAACGGAATTGTCTGCCACCGGACAACCTACTTGAGGGCATGACTGATGGGGTGTCACAAGCAACACTGGGTTCAGTGGGAGACACTGGCGGATCCAGACTTGCGTTTTGGGGGGGGCCAACTCGTGCAAGGAGCCAAACCTAGGGTACCCCCAAATCCTGTTTTCTCATCGGATTTAGGCCACTTATTTTTCGTCACAGCCCTGAAACGATAATTTTTTTTAAACTAAAAAAAAAATAGAGAGAGAAATGGTAGTCCACTCAACCCGTGCCTTAATATTACTTTGAAAACACTTCAAATTGCTTTTGTCGACCACCGCTCCGGGTCGGTGCTTGGCGCAGCCTTCGCGGGCTGGGAGGTGTCGGTTGAACCTCTCTGCCGTTCGGCCCCTGATCAAGCTAGAGCTCGCGGAAAAAACGAGTGTGTTGCCTGTCAGTGACGAGAGGAAGCCGATGATACCCGATTTTAAGGTCCTTGGTCATTGGTTGACCTTCCAGGGCGGTGTTTCACGGTCGCGCTGCCAGCCGCTGCCAGCGCATTCCGCGAGCTAAGGTCAACCTTCGGTAGTGTTGTAGGTATAGGCTAGTTGATGTCTCCATGGAAACCAAAAGTGCCAACAGCGCTGGAAGCGTGCCGTGAAACACCGCCCAGGTCAGGTCACAGACCCAAAAGACGGGAAAATCAGGGCCTGTCAGAACCTCCTAAAGTAAGGCTGTAATAGATTTTTTTGTGCTGATCACGAATTTCATGTTAGTTTGGATCATAGATGATGTCTTCATGCCTTTAGGCCATGTCGGGGCAGGCCAGGTCTGGTCAACCAGGTCAAACAGTACTTATGGGTGTCCGTGTAGCAGGTGTCCGACTACCACTGGCAGCTTCGTAACATGATACGAAGGCATCAAAACTACTTCGTAAATGTTCAAATGGTTGCTAAATGCTAAATTCAAAATCAGCTAAACGAAACTATCCTAGAAACATGTTAAACTCGGAAACGTGCACCGAGGTCATCAAAGGTCAATGACCTGACTTGACCCTAAGGTGACATTGACACCTACCACAATGGTTGGGACCAACATCATTTCACATGTTTGAGCGTTTTAAACCACGAAAAGACTGTAAACGAGCGGATAATGTGAGCCGACATACGCGGAATCGCGATTCCGGCCAAACATGGCCTCAAACATGGCCAAACATATGGTGCGTTCGGAGAGGCACATTCCACGTGGAATCCGTGGAATACTCCATGCGCGCGGAACATTCCCGGAGATTGGCCGTTCAGAGAGATACGCCTCCGAACGCGGCACGGGGAATATTCCAGGGGACGGTGAATATTCCATGCTCTCCGAACGCACGGATAGTCTCGAGAAATAGGCCACAGGTCAAAGGTCACTTGGGTCAGGGTCATGAAATTTTCAGACTTTGTCAACATGAGGGTGCTAAAGTTTCGTCGCGATCGGATTCATGATAACTTACACGATAACTTCACGCGTCGATCGAGAGGTAAAGTATGCAATAAGAACTTCTTGGGAGAAGACGAGACCAACACTCAAGCTCACATATTTTTAATGATACGGTAGTTTCTACCTACTACGCTACTTTCTCACATTCATATTTCTTAAGTGTTTTTGGGGGCCAAAATACATGTTGCCCCCTTTCAGGCTTGGGGGCATGACTCCGTGGCCCCCCTGGATCCGCTAGGCCGAAACTAACTAGGCCGTTTTCAAACGGTCTGATATTTCAGGTCATGGTTTGCAAACGGCCGGTGTTTTCAGGCTGTTTCATATGCCCTGACTGGGCCAGGCCGTTTGCAAACGGACAATTTTTCATACGGCCTGTAACATATATTCATATTTCACCATCTGTCGCAGCATCAAATGCTGATGTGGTGCACTCAAAAGCCGGAATTGGTCCTTGGATGCCGTAAGGACCCTTTTAAGAAATAAGTGACCCGACTGACCCCTTAGAGATTGGCCTGCGCTCTGACCGAAATAAGTCTTTTACCGTTTCACGGGAAGGGACAAAAAGGTCCCTGATATGCTTCTTGTACAATTACCAAACAAAACAAGCTTTTCAACGCCAACTCAGTGAGTGTTCCTAAAAAAATTATTGCGCATATTCCGTGAATGAAAAATTGCCGGGTCATGTCAGGTCAGGCTGCCAGAGCAAGTTTGTTAACTTGACAGTTCAATCGATATGTATGCAATAAGACCTTCTCGGGTGACGACAAGACATGACGACACTTTATGAAGGAAGCTAGTAAACCCGGTGGTTTCTCCATAGGCACGGGAACCGGGGCAGTGGGGACAGCTTGCCCACCCCCCAACTATGGGGCCGTGGGGGCGGTGCCCCCACAACTTTCAGACGGAATACCCCATTTTTTGCAAATGTTTTCTTTTTTTGTTGAAAAAAGCCAAGGGATGAAAAATAAGTGGCCTAAAACCACCGGTGAGAAAACTATATTTGGGGAGACCCTAGGTTGATCTCTATTATGGTGTGCCCCCCCCCCGTCTGAAAGTAGTTCCCGCACCCCTGAGTTTCTCTACGCTATTGAATCACGCCGGTGATTCTAACTTTTAGGTATCTACTACGCAACCTTCTCACATTAATTTTTCTTCAAGCGTTTTGGGAGGGGGGCCAAAAGTTATGTTGGCCCCCCTTTCAGGCTTTTGGGGGGCCATGGCCCCGGTGGCCCCCTCCCTGAATCCACCAGTGGGGGGCGGTGCCACCACAACTTTCAGACGGAATACCGCCCTTTTTGCAAATGTTTTCTTTTTTTGTTGAAAAAGCCAAGAGATGAAAAATAAGTGGCCTAAAACCGGTGAGAAACTAGATTTGGGGGGACCCTAGGTTGATCTCTATTATGGTGTGCCCCCCCCCCCCCAGTCTGAAAGTAGTTCCCGCACCCCTGACTTTCTCTACGCTATTGAATCACGCTGCTGATTCTAGTAGGTATCTACTACGCAACCATCTCACATTAATTTTTCTTCAAGCGTTTTGGGGGGGGCCAAAAGATATGTTGGCCCCCCCTTTCAGGCTTTTGGGGGGGGGGGCCATGGCCCCGGTGGCCCCCCCCCCCCCCCCTGGATCCGCCAGTGGTGGGAGAGTCACTGGTATGACGTGCAGGGTCACTGCTGCCGGCCAGCCCGGCGGACACAGGAGTAGGAGCGGCAGCTGCCCGGCTGGTGCTTGGTTCGACGGCATGGCGTGCAGGGTCACTGCTGCCGGCCAGCCCGGCGGACACAGGAGTAGGAGCGGCAGCTGCCCGGCTGGTGCTTGGTTCGACGGCATGGCGTGCAGGGTCACTGCTGCCGGCCAGCCCGGCGGACACAGGAGTAGGAGAGGCAGCTGCCCGGCTGGTGCTTGGTTCGACGGCATGGCGTGCAGGGTCACTGCTGCCGGCCAGCCCGGCGGACACAGGAGTAGGAGCGGCAGCTGCCCGGCTGGTGCTTGGTTCGACGGCATGGCGTGCAGGGTCACTGCTGCCGGCCAGCCCGGCGGACACAGGAGTAGGAGCGGCAGCTGCCCGGCTGGTGCTTGGTTCGACGGCATGGCGTGCAGGGTCACTGCTGCCGGCCAGCCCGGCGGACACAGGAGTAGGAGCGGCAGCTGCCCGGCTGGTGCTTGGTTCGACGGCATGGCGTGCAGGGTCACTGCTGCCGGCCAGCCCGGCGGACACAGGAGTAGGAGCGGCAGCTGCCCGGCTGGTGCTTGGTTCGACGGCATGGCGTTCAGGGTCACTGCTGCCGGCCAGCTCGGCGGAGACAGGAGTATGGGTGGCACCTATAAAGGATTTAGCCGTATAAGCGTGGTACAAGAATAAAATGGCTGAGAAAAAACTCAACTGGACAGATTCTGTCATTGGACTCCAATGATACCAGCACAATACAGTGCAAATACAAGATGTGTGCCTAAAATAATCCACAAACGGGATGTTGGAAAGTGAGCTTGAATTAGTCAAATGAGCGGAAGGTACCCTACTTTGATAACTGATTAAACAACTCTGCTTTTGCCATTGGATAAAAATCAGCCAGCGCAAACAAGCACCCCAAGCTGTTGAAGAAAGATCGACTCATCAAGCACATCCCATTGGCATACACAGAATGCACACCACTGACCTATATTGAAATAGACCAACAAGGCTGGTCAGGGTCAACAAGCTCATCTGGGCAAAAACTGATTTGATGCACATCACAGAATACAAGATGAAGCAGCATCTGAAATACTACTTCAATATTTGATTGTGATATATTCTTAACGGGGACACATGCTGACACAGTGAGACCATGTTCAATCCAGTTGGAGAGGTACATATGAGTATATGAGGACAGTATTATATGATAACCTAAAACACTTAAACTTGTATGAAATGTATTAATCATTGACAGATTGCTATTGATCTTCACAAAACCACATTGATTTTTCACAGGCAGTCTGGGGTGTGTAATTTAATTAGGACTAGCATACCTGTCTGGTTAGGAGCAAGGTCAGGAAGCCCAGTGTTGCCATCTCTGCTGGAACCAGGCTCAGGATCTTGGTGGCTAAGGCAGTTGAAAATATTGTGTGTTAGCGAAGTAAAGCAAGCATCCCAGACATGAGACACTTCAATGAAGTGAAATTAATTCTAATTACAAGCTATTGGCTGAACCTTGTCTTGCAGGAAAATAAAGTTAATTTATTTATCATTTCTAAAAGCATATACATCAAGATGAGTCATTGAAACTTGACAGCAACTGCATGAACAGTGTTCTAATTGGATTAATAACTATGTGGAAGTACTGATCACTAGGGTTTCTGCAATAAGCTATCCACTCACCTCCGCTTCCTTTTGAAAAAGCCCAACAGTGAGCTCTGACGCTTCATAACTTATCAGTTCTCACAACTAAATATAATAAACTTAGTATCAAGCTGTGGAAACCAACAGTAATCAGGTCGGTTGGCAGCTGAACATAGTTTTACAAACTCCTGTAATTACAGAAAACCACAATCATTACAAACAAAAAACAAAGTTACTATGAAAGTTTGAGCAGGCATATTGGCCACGAATTTATCCCTGGAATAGCCTGACAGATAATGCAACTCTGGATTAACAAATTAATTCAAGAAATGATTGGACAGACATTAGAAACACAAAATGTTAACTATGAATTGAAACTCAGAATTTAACTGATGAATAAGTCAATTGAGTGGGAAACCCAAACACTTTCTGAACCTATCTTTTCCCCAATTCTAGCATATCCAGTATCAGAGAGGCATAAGCATGAGAGAACTTTAGACACATACGAAAAGATAAAAAAAAACAAAGGAGTTGGACTAAAGACCACCTGTGGGCATGCCCACAAAATGAGAATTAAAATCGCACAATAGGTATTGCTCGTGATCCATGTAAAACCTAAAAGTAAAATTGGGGGAAAGCAAACCACGCACGAACAACATTATGAAACACCATAGACATGTGAATTCCACTTTTGGCCTCAGGTTTAAAAGTTTTCCTTGAACCTTTGAAGAAAATAGTGTTGGACTTCATTCAAACCATTAGCCCTCGCCCCGTTGGGGGGGGGGGCCATTTTGCCCCCCCCCCCCTGTGGTTTTTCCTGAATAGCAAGAAAACGGCGGCGCGCAGCGCCGCCAAATTTTCAGTACCTTCCCGGGCATCAATTTGACACCTTCACACCAAATTTCAAGTCTTAGGTCACCTTAGGTCAGGAGTTATTGAGGTCAAACTGAGGTCATGTTCGAGCAAAAATGAGCAAAAAACATGCAATCTTGAAACGCTCACCAAATCTACAGTTATCAAGCAATTTCAAAGTTCTTTATATGGTCTAGTAGACAAAAAGCGGCGCTACAAAACTGCTATCTCGGATTTTCAAAATTTTTGGTTTTTGACCAAAAAAAGTTCAAAAAATTGATTTTTTTAGAAAAACTTTGAAAAAATCCAAAAAATTTCCGAATTTCGAAAAAAACCGGAATATATGTGATATTCCCAGCGCTCTTCTATATACATACCAAATTTCAGATCGATATCTCGTTTTTTGGCCAAGTTATAGCGAAAAAACTGTTCAAAAATGATGACGTCAAATTTTTGAACTCAATTTTTTAGCAATTCTAGACCACGTACGGCAAAACAAAGACCACCATTGAACTCCCCGTGACGAGCTGCATCGATTCGATACCCATTTTATGCAAAAATATTAACTTTGAAATTTGACCTAATTTGACCTGACCTTGACCTGACCTTGACCTGACCTTGACCAAAACGTGATCTAAGCTGGCCCCAAAGGCTGCCTGACCCATATAATCGCATTTGTCATGAAAAATGGACCATAAAACATGGGGGAATATTTGTTTCTGGTCCCTAAAAAGCTGTTTCTGGCACCTAATTGCTGATCAGCCCCAAAATGCTTATTCGACCCTAATATCTGAATCTGGCACCTAATTGCTTCCACACAGCCTGAAGTTGCCAGATCGTCTAGTTGAACTCCGTATTTGCTGTTTGCTGATTCAGCACCAAAACCAAAACATCCAGCACCTATTTTATTCCACGTTTGCCTACCTAATTCGCGTAATCTTCCTGATTTTATGTATCCTAACAAACATGAACGTTGCATTCGGTGATGTCAAGTGCCATTTTCGCCAGTGGAGATAATGATTAATGCCATTTCTACCCAAAAGAGAATCACTAGCCAGCTATGGTGCAGCATAGCAAGACGCTGCTATACCAGCCCGTTATGTAGAGATTATTGCACCCTCAGCCATTTTAACGTTAAAAGTTTGGATCCGTCACTTCCAGCCAGGCTCTCAGGTCATAAACTGGAGTAAAGCAAAATGTCAACTCTGAACAGACATGCCACGCAACCGGCCCTCTTTTCTTTAGGTTTGGGGGATGTACTGGGTCGGATCCGGAAACGGAGCCGGACCATTTTACTCTGAGCCGGAGCCGGAGCCGCCATGACATTTCACCCGGAGCCGGAGCCGGAGCCGTAGCCGATTTTTTCTCCGAAGCCGGAGCCGGAGCTGTCTGAAATTTCCACGGCTCCGCATCCCTGCGCATAGGGGATGTACTGAGTCGGATCCGGAACCGGAGCGGCCGGAGCCGGACCATTTTACTCTGAGCCGGAGCCGGAGCCGCCATTACATTTCACCCGGAGCCGGAGCCGGAGCTGGAGCCGACTTTTTCTCCGGAGCCGAAGCCGGAGCCGTCTGAAATTTTCACGGCTCCACATCCCTGGGTTTGGCATCTAAACTCCCATGTGCACTTAACGTTCCCGCGCAATGAACTCGAGACCTCGCCAACTGTGATTACGAATTATTTGAGATAATAAAATGAAACAGACTATCTTCAATGTACATTCTATAAGCTGTATCAAAGTCAGCATAACATCCACGAAACAAGTGACTGGCATCGACAAACCGTTGTATTTTTCTTGAAAACGTTGCATTCAAGGTTTCTCGACATCTATGCAAAGCAAACGTTTAGGTCATCCAGTTCAAAAGCCGGAGACCCTGTCCTGGGCAGCAAACAACTGATTTGTAAGTAAACAAGCAAATGGTCCTCAGCAACCGATGATATGATCGATCATCGTGCCATGCATGCACGCCTCAACAAACACAGAACACAAATTCTGAAATTCCACTTGCACGTCACGCTTGGCGCGTTACTCTCTCAGCTAGCGCTGACATTTGAAGAAGGTGGACACGCCATTGTTAGGTTCTGTGGATTTACTAAGCTCGTAAACGGATAGGGGTTTACGCAGTACACACGCAACACCTAAGCGCAAATAGCAACCGTCAGATAACGATGATACAACCCTGAGGTGGAACACAGTACGTGAACGGGTTACACAAACAAGTCGCAGTCACATGAAACGACACCAAGTCAAGTGACTACACACAATACATACATGTATGGACGCTCATGTCTTGGGGAAAGCGGGGTAATTCGGCGAAGAGGTTGAATAGTCAGTATCCTCCACCACATGTGCAATGCCTGACAATGAAAATAACTAGCATTACTCTAGTAATTTGCTCTTGCTAGAATTAAGCAGTGAAAAATAGCAAAACTGTCGTTGATATCAAGTAAACGTAAGATACGATGGAGGCATTAACTTGCGTCTGAAACAAAAATAACTCAAAATGTGGCATATACCGGTACTTATATATAGGGCACAAAATGTGTCGCAAATATGGAGGGAAACAGCCATCAATGAAAACGTATTCCATCAGTTCCTGCATGAGCAAGGGTCTTTACGTTGTTTCTTGACTAGAAGCCCTACTAAGTGTGAGGCAAGGGCCTGTACATTGTCTCTGGGCTGGAAGCCCTACTCAGTGCTCAATGGAGAAGAGCGGGCCTAGCCAGGGCGGGCCGACCTCGCTTCCTCTTTTGCCCCAAGGGCACGTCCTTCGCCCGCTCGGACACCATGATCCAGCCGGCCGTGATGGCAGCGGCCACCACATGTTTGCACATCGACTTTTTTAAGTACGGGGGGCACGTACATGTCAGGTCTCGAATGCTCCTCTCGGTGCCCTCGCCGCCCCTATCCTCCATCAGCCACGTGGAAAACCGCACCTGCATGAGCTCCCCGAATGTCACCGGCGTGGACCCAGACATCACCTCATCGTAGTGTAACGCCTCATCCCGCGACACGCTCTCCCGGTCACCCGCAGGGACATAGGTACGGGCACCAGAGGTGAAGCATCGCTGACCCTTCGTTATCCACTGCCAGGCCGCCGTCTGGACAGACAGATGCACGGGTGGGTCGCTCTGAAAGACACGACGCTCGCCATGCTCCGCCGCCCACTCACTCACCATGTCGAGGGCGGTCCGAAGGAACCGGCCGACAGGTGCGCGCTCCCGGATAGTGTGCCGAGCCTTGATCTGCCCGTTGAATGATTCGATGGCATTGTTGGTGGATGGCGAGCGTAGATCAAAGCCTTCGAACCAACCAGAGTTCTTCGTGCGATACTGCGTACGTATGTAAGTTACAAAATCACATGCTGACGGCCACGAACTGCTGAGCCAGCGCTCACACATCAGATCGAATGAATGGTCGAACTGTTCCGGCGTGGCACTCAGCTGTACCTTTTCAAGGTCTCCGAGGACCATTCCCCGCCACTCTTTGTCCTCACCTCGCAGCCTTCCGTCGATAGCCTTTTTAACGTGGAACCAGCAAACGCGGCGTGCTGCGTCAGGAAACACAGCCTCTGCAGCACGTGTCACAGCCTCCGCGCAGTCACCCATCACCACCCTCGGAGCGAACGTCTGCTGCGTGGCCTTCTCCACTTCATCCTTCATAACCCGCAGGAGACTAGTATAGTCCCCCTCCTTCTCTGACGTCATCACTGCGAAGATGCAGGGGAAAAACTGGGACGCCGCGTCTGTCACTCCGGCGATCAGGACAGGATACCCCTGCCAGTTCAGTTTGTATGTAGCATCTACGTGAATGACGTCGGCCGCCGCAGCAGCGACAAGCAGGGAACGGGTGGTGAGCATGACGCTCACCTTCTGCTGCTCACGGTCAACATCATGATGCACTACGTACGCCTTATCGTCGTCGCTAGGTACAGCTTCGGCTTGGACGCACCAGTCACGTAGCTCCCCATAGCTGATGGTAGGTGCTCCTAGAAGCTTTCGCCGAAGGTGACCGATGAAGTTGCTGAGCTGCTTGACAGATTGCCCTCTGACGCCCTGGCTATGCAGAGCTGATTGGACCTGGAGAAAGAGCAAAAACGTCATTTTTCCATAAGACCAATGAGCACAAACTGCCTATAATAATGACATTATAAGTAGGTACAGAATAGAGGGGGGGGTAGCTACCACCAACCAGCCCACTCAATATTCATTATCATAACTGGTGGCTTGGTGAGCGCAACGTCTAGCCCTTTGTAGGTGAGCGTGTGCCCGCTCATAAAATTTGTTGCCAGCTATATGTATAAATTATGCATTTAAGGACAACATGATTCACTCTGAATTGCTCGGAATCATTTCATTTGTAGGTAGGTATGTAAGCATACCGCGACCGAAACATACAACCACTGCAGCTGCCATCTAACAAATGGCTAGGGCGGTGTTTCACGGCCGCTGCTAGCACGTTGCGAGCAGGCTGACTCGCATAGGATCGCGTAGGATACATAGAAGCAGTCTATCATATCATATCAGGTTCAGTGTACCTATCATGTTGGAGGGTCCGAGTTTGTTAACGTCTTCATGGAAATCCATTTTGACACATGTGCTGGCAGCGCTAGCAGCGGCCGTGAAACACCGCCAAGGACTACAGTGCTGCCATCTAACGTACAGATAGTTTGTGTGGTACTGCCCGCACAAGCAGACTGAAGGCATTAGCTGCCATCTGGTGGTTTGCCATCACCATGCGCACTCTCCCAACAAACCACATCCTTAACCAACGTTTCTAATAAACCATGATCACTCATCTCAACAAAGATAACATCAGCTAGACATTTGCTTCTTTTAATGGTAAACACCTTTCCCTTCTTAGCCAGAGTTACCTACCTGGATATGCAGGAGTGAATTCATCAAATGTTTTAAAGACAGTTGAGCAATGAGCACACAAGGCTTGTGGAATTAAAATGAAGGTAACCATGATTTGACTTTGGTAGGTGGATTAAGACCAGAAAATGAGCACAGCATAATGGTTCATCTTGCCATCTTAGCACACTCTCTTCAAATATCTGCTATACCTATAGGTGGAAAAAGGCTAATTTTGAGAATACCTTTCTGGTACCATGAATCACGTAGGTACTCATGCATGCATAATTTTGTCTCATATCATAATGAAATTGTTTTTGATTTGATTTGAAGAGTTAAATGCATGATCATTTGCTACATTCTTTCATACCCATAGCATCTGTTTTGTATTTTGATATTTAAAATTGTGAATTGAGATCAGATGTCGGGTCCGTACTCAAGGTAATGTAAGACAAGGCTGTAGTAAGTAGGTTGAGAGTCAGATTAAAGCGCTGCTATACCTATTTTGGCAAGCCAGAATTGCACCCCTTTTCACTTTATTTTAAGTAAAAGGTGATTAACCAGCTGTATGTGGAATCAAAATTTTGATTCCCTTAATTATTTTTTGGTTGCCTTTTACCAACCTTTATAAATTTAATTGGTATGATTAGAGCAACAGCGTTCATTGTATTAAGTAGACCTTACATTTCCTGCACTATCAAATGTTCGGCATTAGTAGAGCAGACGTCACACGAAGGTTTTCCAACCAAGGAGAGGCGCTGTAGGTTTTAGGTTTTAGGTACCAAAACCAAATGTTCCTTTTCTTGGTTTTGTAGCAACCAGCAGAACAAAAAATGCCTGCATAGATGCCTTCATAAGGTCATTAGGAATCAAAATTAGTATCTAATGCCTCCATTATTTATTCCAGAAGCCTAGTTTCCCAAACTTAAGATTAAGGGAAACACTTTACATCCAACTGGTAACAGCTTACCTGCAGTGGCTTTGTCACACCAGCAGAGAACAGTTTCTCTACCTCCAACTTGGTGGCATGAGTCAGTCCATGGCCATGGCGGTTGTTGTTGGCGTCTTCAGCATGGAAATGGTTTTTACCATTGCAAGAAATCTTGACGCTGTCACCAAGCGGACAATAGAGGGCACACAACTGTGCTTGGCATTTAAGGCCAGCTACACACCGGAAATAGCCTTTTGTTCCTTGCAGTGTTGGTGATGTGCGCTTCTTCGACCATTTTGCCCCCAGTGAGAGGGCATATTGGCCATGCATCCACTGCAGAAACTCATTGTGATCTTTGCATGAGCGGACCGGTGTCCAGGACTGGCCGCAGCCTCTTTTTCTGGTTGACGGGCCAGGCTCCTTGACAGCAGAGGACGCAGCTGCAGGCTCTGTCCCATTTAGATCGCCTTGAAAATCATCGTCTGACTCCATCTCTGCCACACAATAACAAAAACAAAATCAATTGGCACAACCACGGCACAATTCTGAGGGGTAAAACAACGGGAAACAACGGACAATGTCCCACGCAAGATCCCGCGCTTCTTCAGCGGCCTTGAACGGAATGAAAACATTACATTTCTTTTTTGGAGCTATTTGATGACGTCAAAAAATACAATACCCGTTTTAATGGTCAAAATCGAGACAATTACTCCCAAAAATGTTTCGAAATAAAACATTTTTACTTTTAAGAAATAAATACTTTTAAATATTAAATGACATTGTTTTTTCAAACGAATCAATATTATTTGCTTACTTAAACGTCATATACAATGCTGAGATCACTACGGGGCTGTCTTCGAGTGTAGCTGCACTGGCAACCTTTAGACTAGACTCCAGGGGTCATTATACCAGAACAACATGATTCTACCAGCCAGTAGTTCATTTTTCTACTAGATTGGTGCTACGCTCAGCATTTAGGTGCCAGATTCAGAAAAAAGAGTAAGGCGTACCGATGAATTGGTGCCAGAAACAGCTAATTAAGGTCATTTTCCATGATTGGTGCTGGTATCCACCAAATAGGTGCTGAGGACCAATTTTGGGGCGAGTCAGCTTTTAGGTGCCAGAAATAGCTTTTCTGGGACGCAATTAAATGGCGTCCTAAAACATGTATCACACTACACTTTCATATTGTGACCCCCCCGTGACCTGACCTCTGTGACCTGACCTGGTATCAGTGACCTCAAATAGCAAAATATGTGTTTGAAGAACATTTCCCCATCGATGATTTTCAATGAAATGCATTTTACTCGATTTTACAACGCATTTCTTGAAGTGCCTGTAAACGGTGAAAATTGGACCTTTGACCTGACCTGTGACGTCATCGGTTTGACCTAGGTCAATAAAATTGGGTCACAAGGTAGTTCCCCGTTGGGGCTATCCATCGTCGTTTACCGCTTGTCGCTATGTTGCGTGGTTCTCGAGATCTTAGGGGGGGGGCCAAAATGGCCCCCCCAACCGGGCGCGTTGCTCGGCAGAGCCCAACGGGGCGCGGGTTAAAGGAAGACCATGAAACAACGTTTGCACCCTACTACTTCAAACATCATGGGCGTAGGAACATCACGAGAAGTGGGGAGGGGGGGAGGGGCAGCGAAACTTTGATGTCACTTTGTGGGAGCCCCAATACCCCTATGAAGAAATTCTGGTAGTCGTAAAGCAGGCGTCACACTTCTTTTTGCAACCAAGGAGAGGCGCTATACCCAGAGATGCTTTCTAATCGAACCGAACCAAATCAAACCGAAGTCCTAACCAAACCTGACCTAACCTTAACTACAACCTACAACCTAAAACTTACCACCTAAAACCTACAACCTAACCTACAGCGCCTCTTCTTGGTTGCAAAAAGAAGTGTGACGCCTGCTTTACTGCTACCGAAATTCTTTGCATTGTTGTGCTCATCTAACCTTGCTGAACCATTTCCTGCTCTTAGTTTTGGATTTAAATAAAAAATAAAGATTTTACTTAGAAAAAATGGCTGAAAAGTGTGGGGCCATGGCCCCCCGCCCCCCCCCCCCTGTTCCTACGCCTATGTCAAACATTGTCCTTACGGCCTACACCCTAGCTCCTAACGGGCAACTGCACCCAAGATTCCTTTACTACTCACTGCACCTGCGGCGCAAACCTGCTGCTGCCATATCATACAGCCTTGATGTGTGGTCATAGCATATTATGGAATTGTAGAGCAATACAGGCATGACCTTACAATACCTACATTCCGATGCCTGAAAAGTACCTACTCTTTGAGGCTTTAACATCCCTCAAACTGAAATATTTTATGTTCAAAATAATTTTAGAAGTTAAAATCCGGGCATTTTTGCCCTCAAATCACTTATTTATTTACAAACACAGCAATTTTCGGTTCTAGTAGCCCACCTTTCGACTATGAGGTATCAAATCAGCGTGGCAACTTGCTCCCTCTTTGCTCCCTCGGGTATCTAATTCCGGAATTCTTAAAAACAAGGAACGTATATATCGAGTTCTCTTTTATACCTATTCAGTTATGTTTTAATGGTGATTAAAATATGGCAAATTTTTAAATAACATTTCATGTAAGAAAACACGCAAAACAATGAAACAAAAATAACTACGGCGGATAATTACCTTCAGGTATCTAATTCCGACCAAACAGCACCTCAGTAGGATATGATGTCATACAAGAATGGTGTTGAAGGCCGTTTGCAGTCCCGGCCGGTAGGTCACGTGACCGCCGGGAGCCTCGGGTCACGCGGCGGTCGGGAGTCGGACGCGGGACGTGGTCGCGGGCGGACGCGCGGGGCATCATGCTTTGCTTTGCTTGCTTTGTCAACTTATAACTTACGATCGCATAGTGTGAAACCAACACTGCACAGTGCCCTTAGAAATTGAGTTTTGGATAGCTCAAGTCCCTATAGCTCCTCAGGTCGGCAACATTTGAAACCTCATCTGAACCCATGTGAAAAAGCGAGGGTAAGGAACCTTGTGTTGCTTTTTCTTTTACCGTCATAATTATCTCGAACCATCACAATTTTGAGTTGCCACATTGTCTGGTTCACTACATTCGTGTAAAACTTTGGTGAAGGCTGGTGGCTCAAAGAAAGGTGAAGATTCTTTGCCTAATCCGTGAAATATCCCGGCTTTACAAATCTATACTTTTTATTTTCTCCACGATACATTTATTAAAATTGTTAAAATTTAATCTACATTTGTTAAAATCGGGGCTTTGGTTTTGTGTAAACTAGATCATAGAGTTTACTATAGTTTTGTGTAAAACCTGGTGGCTGAAGAAAATAGTGATTTTGCTAACATGATGTGCGGAAATTTGTTGCTTTCCAAATCAAATTACTTATACCTATATTTCATTCCAAATTAGGGGGCATTATTACTGTTTTTCTTGTAACATGAACTGAGTTTGGGTACAGTGCTCCGGAAACGTTGTGGAACTTTAAGCTAGCTACAGGGTGCGCCATAAAGATTTACCCATCAAAAAATGCACTGTATTTCCAAACGAGTTCACATAGGTAAGTCATTTTTTGCACACAAGTCACGAGACTATCTCCGAACAGGCTAGTCTGGCCGATTTCAGATGTGTTCGCCTTTTGCCTTGATCACACGTCTGAGACGCGAGGGCACTTCAGCGCACGTCCGCCGCACGGTCTCCTCGCTGATCCCCCTCCACGCTCTGAGGAGGTCGCGTCGCAGGTCGACCAAGCTGCTGTGGGGGACGTGGCAAGCCTGGCTCTCTAAGATAGACCAGATGGAAAAGTCCATGGGGTTCAAGTCTGGGCTGGACGGAGGCCAACAGTCCTTGGACCAGAACGCGCTCATGTTCTGCCGGCACCAGCTCTGGGTGTTGGCCGCTGTGTGGGCCGGCGCACCGTCTTGAGTGAAGACATACTGGTCGCCGTACTTCTCCTTCAGCCAAGGGAGCACTTCCCTCTCCAGCATCTGCACGTAGATGGCGCTGTTGACCTTGACTCCAGGTTCCACGAAGACCAGAGGAGATTTGGAGCCGTCAGAGCCAACAGCAGCCCAAACCATCATGCTTTCTGGTTTCTGTCTTCGAAAATGATACTTTTTTGTTGCAGGTATGTCTTCGGTACTCTTGGCGTATACCCGGTCGTTTTGGTTGTTGGATACTGACTCTACGTTGAAAATCTTCTCATCCGACCAGATAAAGGCCTTTTGACCGGCGGACTTCATCTCTTCCAACATTGTTGTTGCCCTGCTCAGTCGCTTTTTCTTGGAACTTTCTGAAATCATGTGCCGCTTTGACATCTTGTAGGCCTTCATTCTTAGCCTCCCTTTCACGAGTCTCCTCAAAGACGTTGGTGAGATATGCATCTCTTTTGACATCTCCCTCAAACTCCTCCTTGGATTTCTGGCTATTCTCTTCTTTACGGCCTCTGTGACACTTGAAGTTAGTACAGATCGTTTTCTGCCTGGAATTGGTCTGTCAGATGTTGTGCCATTCTCATTGTACCGTTTCATTACATTGTAAATGGTTTTACGGCACGCACCGACCTCTTTTGCAACGGCCCGGTCAGTGAAGCCGGCATTTTTTAGTGCAACGATTTTGTCACGTCTGCTTGTCCGGGTCATGGTGCATAAACTGTGTCATTCACCTAAAAAATAATTTGTTTTACATAAAAGTCACGTGTTTGCCTCGCGCATGCGCAATTTTCGGACCTCTATGTCTAAAAATAAAGTTTTGGCGAACAAGTTTGTAATGGGTAAATCTTTATGGCGCACCCTGTAGAGCAGTTTCCATAAAAATTGTTAAGATAGTTGACATGGCTTGTTGACAACTGTTTTGCTGTTTCTAAAAAGTGAAAAAATATTTTCCTGCATTAAAGGGACTATCCCACCTTCTGAAATGTTGTTAAAACCAGTTAAATTGCGCCCGACTTTATAGATTGGATGACCAGGAACACGGTTCTGGCATTTATTTTTCATTAAACATCTTAGGCTTCCCATATTCCAAACACAAACTTTCAAATATGTGACGTCACAGCCCAAAATTACCTCCTTCCCCAGGCCACATTACTGTCATAAAGCTGATTCTTTTTACTCTGTAGGCACCACAACAAAGTTCAGACCAAGTTTTAAGCGATTTTTCAACGAACAAACCCATTTAAATCAGAATGACTAAACGAGGTGACGTCACACTAACGGTCGCTCCATGTTGAAGATAGGGCCTTGTACAAGGCCCATTTTCAAATGAAGGGAACGAATTTCTTCAACACCAAGAGGCCGCGGGGGTTGCAACCTAGATAGATAGTGGTTTCTGAACCTCGCCGCAAACTTGGCTATCTCAACTCAAACCCCATGTTAAAGGTGGGATAGTCCCTTTAAGCAGACAAGGCATGTTATTCTCATAAGCTATCGAATGTGTGTGCGTGTGTTTTTTTTTTTTTTAGCTGTCAATTGTAACTTCAGTTACTTCACTTTAGAACATATTGCCCAGAATGCGTCACTGATCATGAGCTGGTATATCATATCATGTGTAGCATAAATGAGAATACATAAATGAGAATAGTGTGTCATGAATTTTTGTGCATGCTTCTGGATCATCTGTAATTACATCAAAGGCTCGGCTCAAGAGTGTCCTGCCGACCAGCTTATGCCCAACCCTTTCTGTCCACAGAACGTCTTTGGAATCGCATGGTTGGCAACACCACGCAAGCTAAAATGGGATTCCTTGATGAACCTTCTTTTTAAGCTTATCAGAGCATTCTTTGAAAGTCGTGAATAGGGCCACTGAGTACCTTAGCCGTGATATCCCCCCACAAAAACCTCTTTTAAATAACCGGGGATAGATAAATGAGCAGAGTAACTAAATGCTATTACGAACGCCTATCACAATGCTGAGCGAATAGGAAAATCCATAGATGGAGAATTGTACCGCGTTACGGGTGCTCGGGCGCAGCCAATCCACCGTTACCCCAGCGGTGACCTTGACCCGCATCGTCTGTCTCGGCTCCAAAGCCAAACCGGCGTGGAATTGGGAGAGCTCGAGCACTCATGGTCCAGCGCAATTATCACCTAAATCCATTCCTGATACACATTTGCTTGCTCATAGTCATGTAACCCCGGTAAATTCACCCAACTTTCATATTGGTCGCTCCATAGACAGATGGCCACAGAGATCAACTTAACCCGCGCCCTGCTGGGGGGGGGTGTTTGAACACCCCCCCCCCCTGTGGTTTTTCGCGGATATCTCAAAAACGGCGGCGCGGAGCGCCGCCGTTTTTGGTACACCTTATCATACATCAATTCTACACATGTTGTGAAAATTTCAGACCAAGGTCATTCAAGGTCAGGTCACCAGGTCACTTGAAGTGACCTCACCTCATAAAAAGTTTCAATGTCTGCCATAGCTACACCGAGTGACCGATCGCTTTGAAACTTTCAGCGATTACTAAGAGCAATAGCATGTACAAAATGTATATCTCAGAATTTTGATATCGATGACCTAAGGTCAGGTCAATTTTGCGACCTCCCCATTATAAGTCAATGGGAGAAAATTGAAATGCGCCTCTTTTGGACGAAAAGCATTATAAACACTCCCAAACACTGCATTACAAGTGGTTTAGACACACTGAACATGAAAATGGTGTCCGTGACCCCTGGTTATGCCCCTGAGGTCATCTTAGGTCACGAATGGTATCTAACAGTTTTTCGCAAATAACATTTGATAGAGGCATGCTAGAGCGATGAAAACGCCTTAGATGTGTTCAGCTCGACGATACGGATCGACTGATATGCAACATGACCCTTTCCGGTCAGGTCATGACCTTGACCTGAGGTCAAATTTTCAAGTTGACCTTTCAAGGTCAAGTTATAGTTCATTCGATGCGTCTTGACGAGAGGAACACGATGCCGGTAAAAGTAAGCTCGTACAAGGTTTGGGTCAAGAGTTATTGCAGAAAAAGTGTTTCCGAAAAAATCGGCTATTTTTGCAGTTTTTACCCCCTGCAGGCAAAACCGTTGACGCTAGGTCAAATCTGAGAGAATTACTCAGAAAGAGCGTTAATAGGGCTATCGAATGCGCTTTTCTGCAGAGCTGTAGCTCTATTGGTTCCCGAGTTATGCGTTGGCTTCTTGGAAATTGTCGACATTCGACGTGGAAATCGGCGAAATTTTGCCTTCAATGACCTCTGGT